TTCCTAATTAAGACCTAAGCAAACTAGGAAAGGGAACTCCCTCAACCTGAGGCCCTGAGGTCAGAAGCCTGGGCAACAGCAGGGCTCAGAGCAGAGAAGTTGGAGATGGGGCAGAGAGACGTGTGAGGAAGCCAGGGGAGCATGGCGGTCAAGGAGGTGGAGGGTTCTGAAGAGACCACTGAGCTGGCCTCGGGGAGCTGTCCATGGTGGTGCCCTGGAAGCCCCGCCACTCAGCAGACCCAAGATCCCCCAGGCCCAGGCTGAAGCATGGACATGCCCAAATCCCAGTCCCAGGGCCAGCCATACAAGGACCCCTCTCCCCAGCCTCTGCATCTCTGGGAAGAGGCCACAGCACAGTCTCATCCTTCCCATATAATCCTGGGAGCCATTCTTCTCAGCCAGAGCCAGAGCTGTCGCTTCCTGCCACACCCCAGACTCATGGGGACGCCCCCTGGCATGATGGCAGCATTGCCATGATGGCCCCTCCATCCACGGCCTGGAGAGCGGAGAATAGCACAGCCTGGTGCTTCCCATCCCCAGAGGATGAAGCAGCAGCTTCTGCAGGAAAAGATTCAAGCCTCCAGGGAAGGGGGGACCGCCCCCCGGAGTCAGTCTCCTTTGCAGAGGGTGATCCAAGCTCATAAATCACCAGGCAGGTGCAAGCAACACCTCAGATCAAACACCTGGGGTGAGGGCCTTGGCCTGGGCTCAGGGCTGGATGGCCCAGAGGGAGTGGAGACAGCTGGGCAGAGAAGCAGGCATGGAGAAGAGGAGGCGGGTTCACCTGGTGTGCTGGACCCCCACACAGTTCCAGGCTCCTGGGCAGGGGAGCTCAGGGGAGGTTCTTGAGTCACACCTGTATTCAAGCCTTCACTTCAGCAATGATCAGACCTGAGGCAAATGACCCTCTCCTGTGTTGAATCACTGAGATAAAGGCTTAAAGTGCCTGGGCTGTAGCAGGGCTCCGTCAAGGGGAGGGGATGCTGTTGGCATTCGCCTTAGGGAGGATGAAGATGGGGCTGGGCAAAGACGGAGGGGCGGACTGGTGACTGGTGAGAGAGGTAGGGTGGGTGAGGGGAGAGGGAGGGATGGAGGGAGGAGGCGGCTGGAGCAGCACCGCAGCCCTGGCTCCAGTTCCCTCAGGGACTGTGCCCCTCCTGCAGCTCCCTGCCCCCACCTCCTTCTCCCTGCCAGGTGCCAACGGATTTCCCTGCTGTGGCCAGAAGTCTGTGGAGATTGTGGACATGCGGTGAGAACCGCTCCGCCATCATCGCAGGGCCTCCCCCCAGCCCCCAGGACTCTAGCCTTTCCCCTGACACCCGGCAGTAGCGCCCAGCCCCAGTCTCCCTCCATTCCACCCATTCCCAACACCTGCCCAGGGGCAGCATCCGGGCCAAAAGGCTGAGGAGGGGGAAGGGTGTCTACCCCCTCTTCTGTTTCTGCCATCAGCCCTGACATTGGACAAGGACTTCGGGGGGTGGTTGGGTACACCCAGGGACATGGATGGCACCTGACCCCTTAGAACTGCATTGCCTGCTGAGGACAGAGCTGCCCAAGGTGGGGGTGGGCAGGTGGGTGGGAGGACATTGCCCTGGGCTTTCCCCTCTATAGGGAGCCACTTTCTGGGCACTGATTCTCAAAGTGAGCTGCATTGGCTCACCTGTAACACTTGACAAAAGGCACATTCCTGGGCCTGACCTCCAACCAACTGGATCCCTCTTTGGGGGTGGGGGATGAGCTGGCAAGTTTGAGGATACCACTCCAGACTTCTTGGTGGGAGTGGGGGCAGCCAGGGAAGTAGATGAGCTGGGGGAGGGGCATCTTGCCAACCCCTGTACAAGGCAGGGGGCTTTGAGGGCCCCAGAGACCTCCTTCCCCCTGAAGCTACCCTCCAACCCCACAGGCCCCTATTACCCACTCTGTCTCCTTCTGTCTTAGGGAGGACTTAAACCGACACCAGTTTTACAATCCCCAGATGGTACAAAAGGAAGAAGAGAAGATAGAGGTGAGAATGGAAGGGTCACCTCTTACAGGGGGGTGGAAGGCAAGGGTCCCTAAGCCCCAACCAGCCCCTACCCTTGACAATGCTGGGACCCTAGTTCCAGGCCAGTGTGGGCACTCACACGCCACCCTCACAGGTAGGTGAGCGGAGGCAGGTGTGGTGGGGAGAGAGCAGGACCCGGCTGGGGGCAGGACAGGGGCCTGGGGCCAGGGAGGACCTCAGGGACAGGGACTTCCAGCTCTTACCTCCTCAGCTTTGAGTTCAAACATTTCAGCTGGAGGCGGAATTGCTAGAGCAGGAGCCCCCACCCAAAGCGGACCTGGACCTGGACCCAGACCCGGACCCAGACCTGGAGCTCATGGCTTTGCTGGAGTCAGAGCTGCAGCCGGCACCCACGCCTGAACCTGAGGGGGACACGTGGAATGTGACCAATGGCAACGAAGACCTTGGGAGGCAGGGGTACAGGATAGAGTCCGTCCACCCCTACATAGAGGGGCTGCCAATGCTACACAACTTCAGACCGTGGAGCATGAGTTCAAACATCAGTTACCTGAGTTCCCTGGAGGAGAGACCGGTGCCCACCGCCTACCGCTCCATCCCCGTGCAGACCTCCAAGCACCTCTTCTGGGCAAACAAGCTCACCCAGGCCTCAGAACACAGCCTGCAGCGGGAGATCAACATGCAGCTCCACAAGAGCAGTGCAGACAAGACCACCAGCCATCAGAACTTCGTCCCCACCAACACTCTGTGCTCCAGGAAGCACTTCCAGACCTCCACTGCCCACACAGCTCTTCCAGCCACAAGCTCCCAGCCGCTACCAAGCACCCACCTGTCTTCCTCCAATCTCTCACCAGTCATTGGCCTGGCAGAGCTAATCAACTTTGCATCTTCCCTGGCCATGGCCTCCTCCAGCAAGACAGACTTGCCCAGTTTGGAGCACAGGATCAAAGCTAAACCCCAGAAGGCCGTGGAGCCTTCCACAGAGCCCATCCAGCCCACTACAAACAAGCAAGAGCTGGAAAAGTGCAAGGAGACACTGTCGGAGAAACCACCCAAAGCCAGGGAGCCGCAGAAAACTTGGAATCAGGAAGACAAGAGTTTCTCTCACCCTTACCTTGACTTCAGCAAGCCGGGGACCAAGAGGACCACCATTGAAGGGGAAGTGAAGCTTCTCCAGCCTCCAGCCACGTCCCCCCACCAGCTGCAGGGAGCCAAGGAAAAGTAAGCGAGGCCAGCCGCACAGCTCTCCCCAACAAGGGGGCTGTGCTGGGACGTGGGGGGCCTGCTCCTCGCAGGCCAGGTAGGGGTGGGGGACGGTGGAATGAGGGGCCGGGCGGGGGTGCGGCGGACTGTGATGCTTCAACCTTGGTGACCTCATAAAGGCTGCTGGAAACAAGGTTCCGGTGGGCTGAAGTGCAGTTCCAAGGCCAGGGCCGCAGGAGGCCTGGGGACCATGGAGGGTGAGCACTCCAGGGCAAGGGCAGGGCCCTGAATTCAGACGGGAAGGGCTGTGCTTGCTTTAGGAAGCTTCCCACCCAGGGGGCAGCGCCTCCCCACGTGGGAAATGCTCAAGCTAGCGTCTGCCCTGCTGAGAGCCTGTTGGCCCCAGCCCTGGAGGCCAGGATGCCCTGTGGAGGGCAGAATGAGGGCGCTCTCCAGCGCCCCTTGCGTTCTGGTGATGAATGCACACAGCACAGGACAGCCCCTGCCCAGCCGCATGCAGCAGCACAAGGCCCCCTCATCCCCAGTGACCTCCTCAAGAGGCCTCTGGGCTCTCCCCTCTCTCTGACACCCCTAACCGGGGCCCAAGTGACGCTCTCTCTTTTGTGTTGCAGCTCAGTGCCGGGAACCAAGAAAGGGAATCCATTATTGCTGCAAATTCATTTTAAGCTGTCATCCCCCTCCACCCCAGAGAAATGACTATACAAAACCAGTAAAGCCTCCAGTGCTGGCCCTCGGCTCAGACTTTTTGTGCAAATGCTCCTAGACCAGTAAGCTCACCTGGCTGCCGCATCCTGATCTCAATTTTTTAGGGATGCCACCCCTGTTTTTAGCTGCTCCAGCCCCACCTGTCCCCGGAGGGCAACGTCACCCTGTCCCAGCTGTCTGTCTGCCCACTCCCCAGGGGCAGTTCCACTCCACTCCCACCTAGCCAGGCCTCCAGGCCAGCAGGGAGACTCATGACTAGTCCAGGGGAGGCCTCGGTGCCCTCTCGTGAAATGGGGAGTCCTCTTGGCCTGAAGCCAGGGATCACCATGTTGGGATCATCTGAGGCAATGGCCTCCTGGGCGTGGGACTGGGCAGGCAAGAAGGCGCGTCTGAGTGGGGTTCCTCCTGGTCTCTCCTCCGGGAAGGGCGGCATGGGGAAGGGGTGGTGTCCTGGGGCTGGAAGGAGGGGAAAAATGAGGCCGAAGAACTGGTCCTGCAGCAGGCTGCAGCCTGGAGCTGGAGGGGACAGCTACCCACAACCCAGACGTGCACACTCCCACACACACACAGACACCACCAGCTGCCCAGTACATCACACACACAGTCACACGACACATCCACACACACAGGAAGCACACTCCACGCATGCCCATGCACATGTGTGCCTGGTGACGCAGTCACACGTCCAAAATATGCACACAAACGCACTCGCACGTCTGGGGTTTGGTCTTAGAGGCCCAGAGGACGGGCAGTGTGGGCAAGCTCCTGGCAGAGGAGAGACGGCAACAAAGGAGGGAAGGGAATTCCGAGTGGGGGGCTGGGCAGAGGAGGGAGGTGCCTGGAGAGTGGGATTAGGAAGCAGTGAGCAGTTAAGACTGGGCCGGGCCTGAGAAGGGGGCAGGAGGCTGGAAGGCGGGACGGGGGTGACGCAAAGGTCAGTGTCTTGTGAGGGGCTCGGCCAGAAGCATCCTTCAGCTCTCAGGACTCGTCTTTCTGGAGTTGTTTTTTTTTTAGTTAATAAACTTTATGTTTTTTAGAGCAGTTTTAGGTTCCCAGCAAAATTGAGCAGAAAGGTCAAAGAGTTCCATATAGCCTCTGTCCCCACTCACACACAATGTCCCCTACTATGGACACCCTGCTCCAAAGGGAGCATTTGATGCTGACGAACCTCCACCGACACATCATCGTCACCCAAGTGCGCAGTCTCCATCAGGGCTCACCATGGGTTCAGACCAGTGTGTGATGACGTGCGCCCACCAGCGCAGTGTCACACAGAAGAGTTTCACTTCCCCAGAATCCCCCTGTGCTCTGCCTGTTCCTCCCTCCCTGCCCCACCCCTGATCCCGTCCCTACAGTTTTGCTTTTTCAGAATGAGTCGAAATCACACAGTATGTAGCCTTTTCAGATGGGCTTCTTTAGCTGGGAAGACACATTTAAGTTTCTTCCATCTTTTCATGGCTTGACAGCTCATTTTAGTGCTGCATAGTATTCCGTTGTCTGGATGTACCGCAGTTTATTTATCCATTCACCTATTAGAGGACACCTTAATTGTTTCCTAGTCGTTTCCAAGTTTGGGCAATTATGAATAAAGCTGCTGTAAACATCTATGTGCAGGTTTTTGTGTGGATATAAGTTTTCAAATCATTCGGGTAAATACCAAGCAGCTCGATTGCTGGATCACATAGTAAGGGTAAGTTTAGTTTTATAAGAAAGTGCCGCACTCTCTTCCAAAGTGGCTGTACCATTTCGCATTCCCACTGGCAACAAATGAGAGTTTCTGTTGCTCCACGTCCTCTCCAGCAGTTGGTGGTGTCAGTGTTTTGGATTTTGGCGTTCTAGTAGGTGTGTAGTGGTGTCTCATTGTTTTAATTTGCGATTCCCTAGTGATTATGATATTGGACACCTTTTGATATGCTTACTTTCCATTTGTATATCTTCTGTCTGGTCAGATGTTTTGCCCATTTTTTAATTGGGTTGTTCATTTTCTTATTGTGGAGTTTTATGTTATT